GTTTTGAATTTTTCTAGAGCCTCATTCATCTGTTTTGTTACTTCCTGTGCTATCAGTTCAGGGTGTCCAGGTGGTTGATTATCAGACTTTTCCACCTCGTTTCCCCAAGAATTTGCCTTTTGTGGGGTGAAAGTCTGAGTTTGTGCCTTACTTAAATGTCTTCTCATGTTTGTTTTTAGTACTGTCCTTGGTTTAGTTCCTGGGTTGATACTTTGAAGTTGCTTATTGTAAATATCATTGTTGATGTATTTAGAACCCTTATGGAATGATTGCTTCTCAGAGGTGTCTTCCAAACATAGCTGGTCTTCAGGTTTTGAGCCTGTAATGGCTCTGAGGCTGTCTCATTTTCATTATACCAGGAAGGACAACTAGATCAATCACAACACCTTAGCCCAAGTGATACAATTAGCAACACAATAGCATCAAAGTACCTCTTAGAAAATGACAATTTGTGGTAGTTATTAATCTATCACATTTAACTGTGTGAATTAAATAAAAATCAAGGGCCAATCCAATTTATTTTTATAGTGAATAAACTCTTCAATATAGCAAATTTACCCTTCGGAATGGGGAGTTAGAAGGAGTTGGGGAGGGAGGAATACGTAGGTAGAAAGATAGGGGAAGGTTAGCAGTGAGGCCAGAGGGCACAGGCAAGAGAAGAAAAGAGAGAAGAAATATGAATTAGGGGCAGAACGGAACACAAAGGGAGATGAAGAACAATGTGAGACAGCAAGGGAGCAAGGCAGAGAGAGAGAGAGAGAGAAAGAAAAGAGAAAAAGAAAAATTTTAAGAGTAGCAAAGAAGAAAAAAATTAAAAATAAGAGCAAAAAAAAAAGTGGTAATTTTGAAAATAACAAATAAAAGATGAAAATGAAGGGCCTCCTTCAGGGTATGTCTCTGCTGTCACAATAGACAATGTGGGCAGCAGTATGCAGTTATAAGTCAGTGAGTCTCAGTAAGCCAGTCACAGACTCGTGAGATTCAGGCGGATTTCTGGCTGCAAGTCCCAAGTTGAGCTCCCTGACCTGCCGGGTTGAACTCTGTAAGGTTCTACTGCAGGTTCCAGCTGCCTTTCCTCTGAAGATAGTCCAGGTTCCGATGGGAGGTGATGATCCCTCCAGCTTACCAAGCACAGTGGTCTTGTGTGGCTTTATTGCAAAGATACTCTTCACTTTTCCAGTGGGCTTCAGTTTTCATCAGGAAGCCTGAGAGGCCCTCTCTCTGTTGTTCACTTCGGCAGCTCAGGACAATGGCCTTTATGGCTCCCTGTGCCTCTGTGGTGTGGATCCAAGTAGCCTTACAGCCAAGAGGCCGGGGCGGGGGGGGGGCTGTTGGTGGGGGGGACCTGTTGTTGCAGGCACCCTTGTGGCTAAGCTGGAGGCTGGTGGGCCTGCCTGGGGGGAGTCCTCACCTGCTCGGTCTCCGTCTCCATCTCCTGGTCGCAAGTGGGCGGAGTGAGCCAGACCGAGCAGGGCGCACTCAGCCCGCGCCTGCTCTGCCTGCGTGCACGGCTAAGCTGGAGTATGTTTGATATTTTTATATTTTCTGTTCTTCCCCTCTTCTAGATCATATTTAGATGAATGTTTATTATGCCTTAAAATCTTGCTGGGTGTGGTGGCACACACCTGTAGTCTCAGCACTTAGGAGGCTGAAGCAGGAGGATTGCTGTGAGTTTGAGGCCAGTCTGAACTGCATAGTGAGATTCTATCACAAAAAACCATAAAAAGTAAATAAATAAAAAATCTCATATGCCAGGGATGGATACTGCCTTATCATTGCCTGCTACTGGTGATTTAAACTTAGGCCTTGATGTGTTCTTGACTTTATATTCTTTATTACAAGTATAGGCCTTTATGCTGGATTCTATCTTTGTTTTCCACAGTTTGTTCAATACGAGTCATTGGTGAGAGTGATATCATGCAGGAATTCCTGTCAGAATCAGATGAGGTAGGTGAATACCTGCTTTAGTGACTATTTTCCTCTTAGATCCCTGTGGGAGAGAATAAAGATATCATTGTGTATAGGTTGCAGTAAACTCCCAGATGACTGTATTTCTTCTACTTTGTTTTTGTATGTATCCTGCTTTTTGTATGAATCCTTTTTGTATGTATCCTTTAAGACCTAGTGCTAGAGTCACCTTCTCTTTGCAGCCATCCCTGATGATTCAGGGCATCAGTTTTTCATTCCACCAAGAACTTCTGCAGCCAGTACCACTCAGTTACCACCTTATTGCTGTCTTATTCTAATTTTTATACATATGATACAGTAGATTTGTTACTTTGTATTTTTAGCTTACAAGAGTTTGAGCTATCTGTACATAAGAGAGAAGTCTTGGTCCCCTTTTTATTTCCACTGCCCTATGACAATATCAAGCATGCTGTAGGTGCTTAATAAATATTAATTAAATATGTCTTATTTTCTCAACTTGTTTCTCAACTGGATTATAAGTTTCTTGCAGACTACGGCTTAAAATAATAGTAATCCTTCCCTACCTATGATTTTGCATTCTATAGTTTCAGTTGCCTGTGGTCAACCATGGCCTGAAAAAATTAAATGTAGAGTTCCAGAAATAAATAATTCATGAGCCATTCTGAGTGGCGTGACAAAGTTCCATGCAACCCCTCTCTGTTACACTCTGAGTGGAGCACATCAACTCTTGTGTGTCATCTGCCTGTTAGACACTCAGTGGCTGGGTCAGTTATTAGGTTGACTGCTCAGTGGCTAGACTCAAAAACCCTTTATCCTCCTTAGGAATGTCTTCAAGGACAAGAGTAGTAATGCTAGATACAGTTCAGATACACCCAAGAGGAGGCTCCTTTAGTGGGGGTGCTTCCTTTTAAGTTTAAAAGGTAAAAGTTACCAGCATTAAGAAAAGAAGCCAGACGTGGTGGCCCAGGTCTGTAATTCCAGCACCCTGGGAGGTTGAGGCAGAAAGATTGCAAGTTTGAGCCCAGTCCAGGCAACTTATTGAGACCCTCTTTCAAAATTAAAAAAACAAAACATCATACACTGAGGTTGAGATTGCTAAGATCTGTGGTAAGAATGGATCACCTGACTGCGAGAACTAAAAATAAATTCTTTCTAATTTTGCTGTCACAACTCAAACTGCGAAAGCTATAGCCACAGTGGGTGATAAGTGGTTAGGGAAGCCAGAAGGGGCATTAAGTGACAGGTCAGTACCACCCTCGGTTTCTGGCATCCACTGTGTGACTTTGAACATATTCCTGGTCGGTAAAGAGGGACTACTGTGATGCGTAGGGTGGTTTTAGGCAATGAGTAATAATTTTTCAAAGTGTTAAATGAAAATGGACTTACACCTAACTAGTTATTTCTCTCTAATGAAAATTACAAGGCCAAAAATGTTAGAGAAATGTGTTGAATGTTTTTATGTTGTTTTGTTCTCATGGTACTGGGGATTTAACCCAGGCCTCCCTCACACATGCTCGACAAGTCCTGTGCCACTGAATCACACCTCTATCCCTTAAGTATTTCTTTAAAACTGAATGAATTGTTGACTCTTTGCTAGAAGAAAATTGGGTGTCACCCTAATTCATATCCCTGAGTCTCATTCATTTTTCTTTCAAAGATGTCCTGGTTATTTCAGGGTTTGGAAAGGAACTCAGGTACCCTTGAGCCAGGCTATATATACCTTAACCGCTGAAACCAGACAATACTTGTTGGAGCTACTGTTTTCCATTGTTTTCTCGCTTGTGAGTTCTGAATAGGGTGACAGAAGTAAACCCAAGATCTCATCTGTGTTTGACCTAGACTGCTTCACACACAGTTTTCTGTGTGGAAATGTGAACACATTTGCTTCCAATGTTTCTTTTTTCCCTCTGAATCTTAAAGGTTAACTTCTGCCTTGGCCTATGGTCAGCTTTATGACTTGTAAATATATTAACTTTTCAAGTGTTGTTTTCCTCCTTTTTATCGGAACTAGCTTTTTCTCTATTATGTGTTTGGGTTACTGTTTAGCTAGCATGTTTCAAGGAGAGTGGGGATGTAATGGGTCATAAATTCTTTCTCTGTGTCTTTTCTCAGAACTACAATGGCATATCTGATGTAGAGCTGAGGGTAGCACTACCAGACGGAACAACAGTTACAGTCAGAGTGAAAAAGAATAGCACTACAGACCAAGTATATCAGGTAAGTTAAACTTGAAAAAGTTCATTTGATACTGGATGGTATGAAGTTAAGAAAGATAGATGGAATGACCTAATACACATAAAGTGCTTATAGTATCTGGCACCTAATACATTCATTAAATTTTTGTTTTCTTTTGTTTTTTCAGTGTTTCTTTTAGCAAGGCCTAGGATTTTGTTTTGTTTTGATTTTTAATACTTTGCCTCAATCCTGTTACTGAGACTTCTAGCTAGAAGCCATTTTTTAAACCTTTTAAATTTTTTTTCCATTTTCTAAACTTTGACAGCATTTTATTTTCTATCCAGTGCAGTGTAGAATGGTAATTTAGATGAGATTGGGCATGTTCAGGGTGTTGTGACCTTAGACAGAATGTGTTTTAGAACACTTAAAATTTCTAGCTCCGACATCACATCAACAGTGAGCCTAGGCTTGATATGTGAGCAGATGTGGGAAGGATATAATCTTTTGGTTCACTGAGGTACTAATATGCAGAAATTTTATCTTGTTCAATTAATATTTGGATTGATCTTGAAAAGGGATTTGGTACTGGTGTTTTGTGTTTTGTTGTTATGTAATTTCAATTCTCATATATTTGCACATGGAGTCTTTTTTTATTTGTTATGTTAGTACCTTAGTTCCTACAGAAAAGAATTTATGTTCTTCTTGTTTGATATGTCTCTTGTCACAATATTTTGATATTTTCATGTGGATATTGATGTGGTAATCTTTAGGAAATGAAGGTACGTAATATGGCCTGGAACATAGATCAACTGAAAAACAATATTTATGGGCCAGCTACACTCCTGTAATCCCAGTGACTGGAGAGACGGAGGCTGGAAAATCACAAATTTGAGCCCACTCTGGGCCACTTAGTAGGACTCAGCCCCCAAACAAAAAGTATAAAAACAGGTAGGGAGGTAGCTCAGTGGTAGAGCACTCCTGGGTTCAGTTCTTTGTACCATTAAAAAAAAAAAAAAAGGAACCCTGAATAAAATTACCAAACAGTATTTTAAGCTGAGTAATCTAGCTGGTATTGAGATTCATGCCAGTAGTCCCAGCTACTTGGAAGACTAAGATAGGAAGATCACTTGAGGCCAGGAGACTCCTGGGCAGCACGGGGAGTTCTTGTCTCTTAAAAAAAAAAAAAGAAAGAAAGGAATGAAAAATATAGATATTCTCTATTGATGTCCTTTTTTTTTGCTCTCTCATATAAAAATAGGCTATATGAAAATGAATATTTAAGAATTTGTTATCTTTTTAAGACCTGTCTTATCAAGGGCCTTGTTAAAAAAGGCTTTGTGAAATGAAGTCATATTTTGAAGAGGAAAGCTGATGTTAAAGAGAAACTATTATCAGCTTGTGTTGGAAGGGAGAAATTCATAGAGATGAGCTGTATGGGTCAAACACAGATGCCTTTCTCCTTTTCTTTCATACATTTGTATGCATGTGTACGTGTACACTGGAGAGAGACAATCACGGGGCTGGGAGTGTAGCTCAGTGGTAGAACACTTGTCTAGCATGTGCAAGGCCCTGGATTTTGAGCCCCAGCACCAGTGGATGGAAGAATGAATGAGAGAGAGAGATAGCAATGGACCATGATAGTTTTTATGAAGCTAAGGTGGCAAACACCCCCACCCCCTCATGCATACACCTGTGTTTCCCAACAGCATTGTCTGACTTCGCTTTCTTAAACCATTCTGTCCTGTTTGGACTTTAGGCTATTGCTGCAAAGGTTGGCATGGACAGTACAACAGTGAACTACTTTGCCTTATTTGAAGTGATCAATCATTCCTTTGGTAAGTGCTAAAGGCTAATATTGAGTTTGGGGGGTATTTTATTCTAATAATGTTGAACAAAAACCTCCCAGAGAAGAGCTTGAGGACGGGAAGATCCCACTTAGCAAATCCTGCTGAGCCTGGTCATAAGGGTGCCTCATCATTGTTGATCCTATTTCCTATTCTGTCAGCACCTATAGGTTACATCTGGCGCTGAATCAGATATTTTCACGTGTTACTTTTAAATCAGAGGCTCAAAATTTACATATTTCAGGGCCGGGGATTTAGCCCAGTGGTTCCACTGCCTGCCTCGCAAGCACAAGGTCCAGAGTTCGATCCTCGGTACCAAAAAAAAAAAGTATGTATTCCAGTGAAACAGCTTTAAAAGGAGATGTTCTCTTTAGCCACATAGTTTCAAATTCCTTCATACTTTAAGTAAAGTTTTTTTTTGCATTTTAAAAATTTCATTAGTACATTTTTTTTTTTGGTACTGGGTATCGAACTCGGGTCCTTGCACTTGTGCCGCAGGCAGCGAAACCACTGAGCTAAATCCCTGGCCTCATTAGTACATTTTAATGATAACATTCATCATAGGGAATTTGTACCTGTACATGATATATCTAGCTTCTTTTTTCCCCAGTGCCCTCCTCTCCTTTCAACCCCTCTTCCCCTCATTTTTGTAAAGATTTTTAAGACTAGATTTTTGTTTTTAGAAGTTAGAAAATGATACTATATATTGGTGAAAAGCCTTGGTTTTAATGCATATATTTAAGCTTCTGAATGAAAATTTCCTCTTAGATTTTATTGCATGGAGACAGGAAGTTTCTCTTCTATAAAAACCGGGGGTGGTAGTCACATTGGTTGCATTGCAACCACAAAGGGGAGGGAGGCTGAAGGCTTGCTCTGTTGACATGGATTTTCTATAGTTTATGGGTCTTCTTCACATCATGTGTACACAGCCTATGATCAGAAATGACATAGATAATATTGATTGATCAGACCTTCTTCATCGTAGGAGGAAAGTTTGGTAGATTTCAGTTGTCTTGCCATCCCAGGTCTAGAGACAGCAACTTTGATTCCCCTGATGCAATCATCTCCTTATTACAGTTTTTCTTTCCAACTCTCAACAGCCTAATTAGTCAAATACAAATTACATTAGAAAGGATTGCTAGGGTACCGGGATACTTGGATTCTAATCTTACATTTTTCTAAGCTTTAGTTTCACTTTCTATAAAATGAGAAATATTAAATATGTCTTTTTCAGTGTCATAAAGCCAAGTATGCATTAAGAGAGAAAAACTTGGGAAAGATAAGAGAAAATAAAAGTGGTAGTGTTTTATCCTGCTGTACACTGTTAGGAAGAAATATCCTTACTCTGAAGACACTTTTCACTTTGATGAATGCCTGAGGATTTAGGGATGGAGCAGGAAGAGCCTTTCAGTTCTTAACAATAAAAGCAGTTTATTGAGAATGCCCATGGCTGGGTAAGAGTAGAGACTTGTTCTGAAGAGTAGATATCGGCTGTAACTTGTCAGATAATGGATCAGGGATTTCAAACTGAATTTGGAGTTGGTATGGTCTCCAGTCACCATGGTAACTGAAGGACCTGCCTTTCAAGTGATAGATTTCAGTCTGTTGGAGGCTCAGTCGGCCATAGTTACAGTCAGAAGGAACAGACTTGGCCAGACCTGGGAGTTTTGTGCTCTTAGGGCAAGAGCTCCATGATGAATTTGAGCTGTGCTCTATTTAATGACAACCTAGCACATTCGACCTGCTTTCAATAGTTTATTTTAGGGAAATTCTTTATATATTTTTTCACTACAGCTTTCTTTATTTTGTCTTTTCTACAGTACGTAAGCTGGCACCTAATGAATTTCCTCATAAACTCTATGTCCAGAATTACACATCAGCTGTGCCAGGCACCTGCCTGACCATTCGAAAGTGGCTTTTTACAACAGAAGAAGAAATCCTCTTAAATGACAATGACCTTGCTGTTACCTACTTCTTTCATCAGGTAGGTGAATTGATCTTCCTAAAAGGCTGGTTTCTTCTTCTGTTTGTATGTAGTTGGTAATTTGCCAATTCATCGTGAATCTTTGGTTAGCCACTCTGCTTCTGGGTCTGAGTTAAATCTACGAAGTTTCCCATTTTGCAAAAGATAAGCAAGTTAGAAGTGAAAATACCCTGGAATTTAAAGAATAGTTAATCTGATTTTTTTTTAAACAGGAGAAAATGAGCATTCTGACTGTATACCTGTTCAAAAGTTTTTCATATATATACATATATATATGTGTGTGTGTATATATATATATATATATGTATATATATATATATACTGTCTGGGAAAAACAAATTGTCTATTTTCCTCTGCTCTGATATATAATCAACGTAGAAGACTCCTGTGACCTCAAAAGATTTCTCTCCAGCAAGCAGTTCTGCAATGGACATCAGCTGGGTATCATCAGACTTGATTCAGCTGTGACACTCAGTGGCAACATCAGATCCCACAGGCAATGGCTCAGTCCCCGAGACTACCCCCACTGTAGGTCCCCTTACAATAGCTGGCCTCTAAAATTTTTGACCAAATGACAAAAGGTTTGATTAGTTTGCTAAAGCAACTCATAGAACTTAAGACAACACTTTAACATTTAATGGTTTTATAAAGGATATTATAAGGACACAAATAAAAAATGCAGAGATAAATAGAGGGAGGCCTGGACAGCAGGAGTGTCCATGCCCGGGCTGGGGTGCATCGCTCTCTTGACATATGGAGAGTTCTTATTCACCTTCTGTGAGCTCCACATGTTCCACAGTCCAGAACCTCCCAGGACCTTATCCTTGTGGGGTTTTTAGGATGACTTTATTGCATGGGCATGATTGAAGTGTAGACAATCATGTTGACGTGTGATTGGACAAGAAGGATGTGATCTGATGCTAGTAGAATAAGGGTACCCAGCAAAGTCCATCTGTTCAGGTTCTTGGCTTCTTTGTGAGCATGGGGAAGGGCTCTTTCTGAAATGAAGGTCTTAGCAGAGGATGTTTTTATGGTCTGTTCTAATAGAAAGGCAAGAGACTATGAGTCTATTTTTAGTTTGTGTAACTTGCCTTGGGGAAGAGAAATTGTTTCTGTAGGCTGCCTTGTGTTCATGAAAGGGGCTTTACTCTTAGCACTTGTCTGCTCAAGTTGAATATTGGGAGGCAGCAGAGCTGATTGGGAGTTCAACTGTAAGTGTGTCTTGTTGACTGTGAACTTGACTGTAGAGAAACTAAAGCTCCAGTCTTCGTGTGGCTACGGGAAATAAAGGAAAGGAGCAGGTAATTTGTTTCTTAAATAGGCCTTCAGTCCTCCTTTTATTAGCCCACGGTCTACTACCTCTCCTGGGTGACCACCTAGTGCTAATTCCTGAGTCTTTGGGGGATTTGTTGGAGGGGTTCTCCACTTTCTCTGCCACCAGTGTAGAAATTTCTTTTTCTTTAGGTTTTCTAAATCACTACTCATATGTATGATGTGTTCCAGATTTACAATATTTTGGTCTGTTTTTTTCCCCCATTCTTGCTGGTCTGTGGTTTTATTCCTTTTAAAAAATTCCTTGGGTTGGGCGTGTAGCTCAATGCTAGAGTAATTGCTTGCCTAACTTGCCTGTGGCCCTGGGTTTGATCTCTAGCAACACATGCACGCACTTACTCATTTTAATGAAATTTTAGGATGAAGCAAGAGATACTTGCATTTGTTATCTTTATCTGGAAGTCTTCTTTTATGAACTATTCCTGCAAATATTTACACTTAATATTTGACATTAGGTATTATTTGTATAGACGTGTAATTTTTACAGTTATCCTAATGTACAGTTTTTCCTTTTTCACATATCTGCATTGTTCTTTTTTGAGGGGTATCTAGGATTGAATTCAAGACCTTGCATTTTGAGGTAGGCGCAGTGCCACTGAGCTAAATCCCTGGCCCTTGCATTGTTCTTTTATATGTCATTTGTAACTGAATTAATGTACTGGCTGTTAATTATTCCCTCTTATTACTTCCAGGGCGTTTTTTAATGTGTGATTATAAATGATGGTATCATAAACTTTTGTAATATCACTTTGTGTGTGGTTTATTTTTACTTTTTTTTTGCAGTGCAGTGATTGAATTCAAAGTCCTCACACATGTTAGGCAAGTGCTCTACTACTGAGCTACTACCTATTTTTCTTTTAAGAAGCTACTGTTGCTTGTTTATTCATTCATTCATTGGTTGTGTGGTCCTAGTGATTGAACTCAGGGCCTTGTGCATGCTAGCAAAGCACTCTGCCACTGAGCTGCATCCCAGCCCTTCTGTTTTTTATTTTGAGATGGAGTCTCACTATGTAGCCAAGGCTGGGCTTGAACTTGCAATTCTACTGCCTCAGCCTCCTGACTGTTGGGATTATAGATTTTTAAGATCTTTGCCATTTTTGCAAATATTTAATCTATTGATTTTCCTTTTATATCCTAGTATTAACTGATTTTTGTTTAAAGAGGTTTAACATTTTGTATAATGTTTATCTATGGTAATTTCTGTAACTTAACTAGTGAGTATATTTTCCTCAGCATTAAATATAAGTATACTACTATTAATTTTTTTTGCAGTGCTAGGGATTGAATGCTGTTCTTTTAAAATTCCCAGTATTGGGGCCGGGGATTTAGCTCAGTGGTTCTGCCGCCTGCCCCAAAAGCGCAAGGACCTGAGTTTGATCCCTGGTACCAAAAAATTAAAAAAAATAAAAAATAAATAAAATAAAATTGTCAGTATTTTATTTTTAATATTTAATGCTTTAATGTAGCGGAGATTTACTGTGTTAATGTAGTACAGATGGTTAGTGTAAGTTAAGTTTTCCAGATAGCACAGCAGCGTATAGTAAATGATAGATTTCTAATTTGTTATGCTTAATTTCTGTTAAATGTAGTTGTGTGCAGAGACATGTCCTTTTGGGTCTTCTGTTGGCCTGCTTCCTTTTTTGACTCTGTACCCTGCTCCTTTCTCTGAAGTGAGCATAACCTCAAGATCTTATTGTCTTCCTAATAAAACAAGATGAAATTTAAAACTAGGTGCTTGGCCTTTCCTCCTCATGTCTCCTCTGGACTGAAAACGCTTGCATCTCTTAATGGCCAGCATTCTCTTGGATTGCGGTTGGGTTCAACACACATGCACTACACCAACCTTCTGTGCAGGTTTAGTGTTTCTCTGGGAAATCAGCTCAGTCTGCCCACCAAACCACTCTATATGTCTTGTCATAATGGCACTTTCCCTGGGAAAACAGAGTCCTTGCTTTTCATACACTGGGTCCCTTTTTGTGGGTGGTGCTTGTCACCCTTCTTACAAAAAGTGGCTGTTCTAGCAGTGTTCACCATGGTTTTCGTTTTGTTTTGTTTGAGACAGGGTCTCACTGTGTAGCCCAGGCTGGCCTTGAGCTTGTGGTGATTCTCCTGATTTAGCCTCCCAAGTGCTGGGATTACAGGCATGTTCACCATGTTTGTAGGAGCACTATTGCACGTAAAGCTACATTTGTTTGTTTCTGGTACTAGGAATCAAACTCAGGACTTTGGGCTTGCCAGGCAGGCGTGGCACCACTGAGCAAAATCCCCAGCCTTAAAGCCACATTTTTTATTATTGTTTCTTTATAATACATTTTAATATCTGGTAAGACCAAGCCTTCTGTATTAGTCAGCTTTGGATTACTAGAGTGAAGTACCTGAGGCAATTAATTTATAAAGAGAAGAGATTTATTCTGACTTACACATCTGAACCTTCTTTTCTGGTTTCAAGATCAGGCAGCCCCCTTGCTTTGTGTCTCTGGCAAAGGCAGCGCATCACGATCACAGCACATGATGGAGCAAACTGCTTATATCATGATCCACAAGCAGAGAGAGACAAAGACAGAAAGAAGGAATGAGTGAATGACAGACACAGACTGGGGTCCCAGAAAACCATTTGAGAGCCAATCCTTCAATGATATAAAAACTTCCCACAAGGCCCCACCTCCCAAAGATTCCACCACTGCCTTATCGTGCCACCCTGGGGACTACGCCTTTGACACATAGGCTTTGGAGGACATTCTACATCCAAACAATGGCACCTTTTTTTTTTTTTTTTTTTCTTGCTTACCGGGGATGGAACTCAGGACCTTGCACTTGTGAGGCAGGCGTGGCACCACTGAGCTAAATCCCCAGCCCACCTTCTTTTTAAAAGGCTCAATATTCGTGCACATTTTGTTTGTCCAAATAATTTTTAACCCATTTTGTAACCTATTACTAATACCTTATTACTATTCCAAATTGAAATTTTAACAGAATTACCATTTTTATTAAATGTAATATTCTTAACTAAATATATAAGGTTTCTATTTTATTCAACTACTCTCTTATTTCCTCGGATAAAGTTCTGTAGAGTTACAGTGGACTCTTGACTTACGAACTCAATTCGTTCGCAAGGGCTGACTGTAACTGAAGTTGGTCAATGGAAGGCTCAGGCTCCTCTACACGGCCTTCGAAGTCTGTCTTCTGCATCAGGCAGAGCTCAGCGTCCTTAGAGAGACACTGGCCCAGGATTTCTCAGTTGACCCCACAAAGGAAAGGATGCTGTAATGCTCTTCCCAGAGGTCTTTAAGGGTTAAATCTGTGTCTGAGACCATCTGGAAGCACAAATGGGCGGCATTTGGGTTGTCACTCAAGACTGTTCGTAAGTTAAAACTAAAATTCCAGTCCCGTTCCTATGTCAGGCTGGTTGTAACTCAAGGGTCCACTGTATATTTCACCTATGTCCCCTTAAAGTGATTCCTAATTAATTTCTTTTTTTTTTTTTTACTATTATGAATGGGATATTTTTTTTTTGTTATCAGAGTGGAAATTGTTAGCTTAAAGTTGGAATATTTGTTACAAGTCCAAGCTCTGCATTGAGTAAACCCTTCGCAAGGCTTTGATGAAAGAGTTTGATGATCTGTCAGTGGAGAAGAGTAGTTTCACAGCTGGGTTTTTAAAATGAGTGCTAAAATGTAAATGGGGCAAGGACCTGAGTTTGATCCCCAGTACCAAAAAAAAAATGTGAAATTGCTTTTTGAATTATAAAACTGTGAGACAAAAGTACACTATTTAGACATATAGAAAAGCTATTACTTTTGTAGCAGTACCTCCCTCATATCTAGCAGTTTTTGAACTATTTATTGCAGGAAGTCAACAATGTCTAAAATTGAGCTCAGAAATTATTAATGTAGGCATGACCTTTAGAATTATGGAAAGATGATCATAAAAGCTGCTTAAAAGCAGGCTGGATGCAGTGGTGCACACCTGTGATCCCACCACTCGGGGAGGCTGAGGCAGGAGGATGGCAAGTTAGAGGCCAACCTGTGAGGTTTAGAAATTTAGTTAATCTCAAAAATAAAAATCAGGTCTGGGGATATAGCTCAGTGTCAAGGCCCTGGTTAGTATCAAGTGGTTAATACCACCATTAAAAAAAAGTTTGGAATGAAGCTCTGGAATCAGGAGACTACCATTTCTGTTGGGAGACTTTTAGTAGCATTTTTCTATTTAACTATATGCATGCTTTATTTATTTGTTTATTAATGGATTTTTTTGAGACAGGGTGTCACTTTGTAGTTCAGGCTGGCCTCGAACTCGAGGCGATCCTCCTGTCTCAGCCTCCCCAGTGCTGGGATTACAGACGTGTGCCACTACAACTGGCTACATGCTTTACTTTAAACATTTTTTAAATTAAAAAAGTCTAGTGTGGTGATATTTATATTTTCCATCCAAGGCTAATCAACCAGTATCATTTTGATTAGAAATGAAAAGGAGAACATTTTGTTGCTCTGTGTGAAAGAGCTGAGGGTGCTGGGGCCGGGGTTCACCGACTCATCTCTGCCCATCATTCATCAATCATTCAGTACTCTAATGAGATAGGCACCATTTTAGGCATTGGGGATTCGAACAAAACAAATACAGTGTTTTTATTTGGTCATCAGAAGGATTGTAAAGCCTTTTCACTTAGCTAAATGATATTTTAAGTTATGGCCCTCCCTTGGTGTCCTCAGGGTATTGGTTTCAGGACACAAACAAACACGTACACCCCACCCATGGATACCAAAATCAGAGCCCCTGGAGTCCTTTCTACAAAAGGGAGCAGTATTTGCTTTTGATTTAGTATTTCCTCGTATGTACTTTAATCTGTAGATTACTTGTAATACCTATAAAATATAAATGGTATGTAAATAATTATCATGTATAGTTTAGGGAATAATGACCCAGAAAGGTCATACCTGTTCGATACAGACACAGTTTTGTTTAAAAAATTATTTTCTATCTGTAGTTGGTTTAATCTGCAGATGCTAAACCTACAGGGTTTAATTGCACATTGGAAGCTAGATAGACTAGGATGTATTTGTCCTCTTCACTTCTGCCCCAGCTTTTCAATACTCGGCTTAAATTTGGCCTGGAGCAGCATAGCCTTTGGTGATAAATAGCAGAGTGCTCGAGTTCCTGGGGACATTGCATAGCAGTCCTTATTGTGCATCCCCTCTGTGCTTGTGACCATCTCTGCCCAAGCAGCCCCGTTTGTGTGGCCAGGATTGGAGAGGGACTAGCAGACCTTTCCCATAGGCAGTTCCTGGCAGGACATTAACATCCTTGTGTGGTTCTCAGGAGAATTTAACAGCTAAATGATACTGATAGCAATAATACTAATGAGGTGTAATTTTTTAAATTTCTTGACATGTATCATCTCATTTTATTGTGATTTATGAAATGAATGTTGTTCCTTTTTTGCAGACTAAGAGGTTTAAGTGATTTTCCCAAGTGCCATATTGGTAGGTGACAAAGCTAGAGGTAGAACTAGTCTCTGTCATTGGATAGGGCCCAAGGAGTTCCCCTGAGAGGTCCCCCTGAGAGAAGACCTCAGTTCACCTTGAGTATGTTCTCAGCTTATCAGTGTAGAAAAGCATCTCAGGTGCATCAGTGAGAGGAATGGACAGATTAAGCAGAATGGAAAAATACAGGCTCAGAGAAGGGGGTGCAGGCGCTTGAGGGAGACACAGTGAGGGTATTTACGTGGTCTTAGAGTATCCTCAGGGCTGGGGGTGGTGATCTAGGATGTTTATTCTAGGACGTTTAGACTTTTACCCAGTGTTTGTCAGGTTACCCATTAGAGAGCTAAAGCGAAAACTGACTCTCAGCTAGGTTAAAATGTAAACCACCCGTGTGTGAGGTTAGAGCTTGACACACGGTTGATGGTGCTCTTCCTTTGATGGTGGTGAGCTGTGGAATTTGTGGATTTACAGACCCAGGAGAACACAGGTGCAGCGCGTAGACTTCCAGTTTGAGGAGTGAGGAGCCTGGAAGGAAAACAGGTCGAGGGGGAGAAGGTGCTGCAACCTTGGGTAACTTTGTGTTCAAAGCTGCAGTTTTCTGGAAATTACAGTTTCCTTATCTCCTTTCTACCCACTTTTTTCTTCTGTGTTACTTTGATTTTAATCCTAAACTTACTCAGTTATCCACCCATTTCCCCTAATGACTATGGGGGATAATTTCTGCTTAAATACCACAGCACTCTGGATCTCCTTTATTTCATTCTCTCCTTAGCTGAATTCATTTGGCACAATAGCAGTGACAGATCAGACATGAATCAGTCTTTTTTTTAAAAAAGTTTTTTTAGACAGCATCTCCTTATTTAAAAAACACCTTTCCCTCCCTTCCTTCCTTCCTTTCTTTTCTTTTCCTTTCCTTCCTTTCTTTCTTCTTTCTTGTTTATTTGAGAAATTTAACGTGAAGAGTGAGAGAGAAATTGGCTCTGCAGAGCCAGCTTGGGTGCAGTAAAAGAAGAAAAAGTAGGGTAAAAGAACACCCTGGAGGAAGCAGGGCAGACTGTCATGAGGAAAGCCATGATACCTCTTTATTTTAGCTCCCTTCCTCAGTATGTTTCCTTAAGTTGAAATTCTATGCCTGCTTGTTAGGATCTTTTAATATCTATTGTTAGCCTACCTACCTGGCATTATCTTTCATTGTCCCTTCACATGTATCCTTTATTTAAATCAGACACATCTGTTTCCTGATTTTCTGTGTGTGTGGTAGTGGTGCTGGAGATTGAGCCACACTGAGCTACAGGTACCCAGCCAGCCATGCATCCATCCATCCATTCATTCATTCATTCTTTCATTCTGAGATAGGGTTTCATTGAGTCACAAAGTTGCTCAAGCTAGGCTTGAACTTGTTATCCTCCTGCCTCAGCCTCCAAGAGTACTGGGATTACAAGCATGCACCACCATGCCCAGCTTCTTGAATGTTAAAACCCATTCCTGTTTCCCAACTTCATCTTATAGTTTCCCTCATTTATTCTTTCCAGGTCCACCCACAGCTTCTCTGATAATTATAATTAGTAGTAAGTGCTCCTGTCCTAACTGCATATATCACTTACTGTCTAGACCTTATATTTTGCTACATCATCGCTGCCTTTAATATGCTATTATGCACTGTCTTTCAGTGTTCTTTCTTTCTTATTTTGTTATTTTATTTTCATTGTTTTTTAAAATTTTGAGACCGGGTCTTGCTAAGTTGCCCGTGTGGGACTCAAACTTGTGACCCTTCTGCCTCAGCCTCTCCAATGCTGAGATTATAGGCATGCACCACCACAACAGCTCCCTTATTGTTTTCACATGTATAAATTTACCAGAATTTAAGTCTCTTTTTTTTTTTCTCCTCTTCAGTACCAGGGTTCGAACTCAGGACCTTGTGCTTGCCAGGCAGGTGAGGTGCTGCTCAGCTACATCCCTGGCCCAGAGTTTAAGTCTCTTGAGAAGAAAAATAACAGATTTTTCACATGCCTCAAACAATTCTTAAATATGCGCTACTCTTTAAATATTAGTTATTCCGATTAATATGTCCGGGGCCTGGGATTGAACTCAGTGGTTCCACCGCCTGCCTTGAAAGTGCAAGGTCCTGAGTTTGATCCCTGGTACCAAAAAACAACCAATTAATATGTCTGTGTTGATGCATTTATGATGATGGTCCAAAAAGATGGAAGTTTCTCTGAAAATGAACCTACATCTGTATTTTTATCAAGAATGTGCTTGGGCCAGGGATTTAGCTCAGTGATTCCGGCGCCTGCCACGCAAGCTCAAGGTCCTGAGTTCAATCCCCAGTACCAAAAAAAAAAGAATGTGCTTGATGATCACTTTTATATTCCCTTCTTCCTTGCTTTTATTTTGGTGTTAGGCTGTTGATGATGTAAAGAAAGGTTACATCAAAGCAGAGGAGAAGTCTTACCAGTTACAGAAGCTATATGAACAAAGGAAAATGGTCATGGTAAGTTTATGTCCCCATTAATACTTTTATAAAATGCTCCTTTTTACCTCTTAAAACTGTTGTTCCAGTAATTTTTACTGGAGCAATGGATTAACTAATTTTTAAAAAGTAAGAATTTTGATGCAAAGTCCTTTGTGTTCCTCTTTTGATACACACAAATCTGGGTTAGTATACATAAGCATGTAATTTATTATTAGTAATAACTAAACGATATTCTTTCTGATAAAGTGCTGAAACAGGTGTGCAAAACATCACTATATGACAAAGATGAGATTGTGTAAGAACTGGTATTGTGGGTATATGTGTGTATGTGTGTATGGGTGTGTGTGTGTGTGTTGCTGGGGATAGAGCCCAGAGCCTCATGCATACTAGGCAAGTATGCATCTACTGGGCTACATTTGCAACCCAATATGGTATTTAGATTTTTACCATTACAGATTATTTTAGATATGCTTTAGCAATAGCAAAGTCATTTGTTTCTGCAACTTCCATTTCTGTAGTTGCTTAGACATTTCTGCTCAATAGCACTTTTGGTTTGTGTGATATCTTAGAGCTGTTGCGTTCAATTTGTCAGCTACAAGCTTCCTATAACTATTTAAATCTAAATTTCAGTTCTTCAGTTGCACATTTCAAGGGCTAAGTAGTCATAGAACAGCTAACGAACATATTTTCATAGTCATAGGAAATTCTGTTAAACAAGGCTGCCTAGGTGGTCCCTAAAATGTTTTGAAATTAATTTTCAATTTGTATCTGCCATGATACAGGGATGGAAATTGTAAAAAATAAAATTAATAAAGAACACCTACAATAATCAGTGAAATTTTTTTTTAAACTCATAATATTTTAAAATTTCTTTCTTGACAGATTCATGTGTAGTTGAATTTTTTCCAATTACAATTTAATTTTCACAGAGGATAGTACTGCATTGGTAATGGTCTTGATGGGTCACTTGAATTATTTTGTACCTTCGGTGTACCTTTTATGAGAGAGTTCATCCACCTAAATTAGTTGATTTGGAATAAGAATCCAAACAAGTCAGCTGTTGACCTTGGAGCATAATCTTATATCTAGGTAGGATATTCATTTTATTAGTATATGATGAAAACTAATAAATCTTTTTGATTTAAAAATATTGCCAGAGACCAGGGAGCCATCCATCTTACCAGTGTTCTATATATCAGCGGGCTGAAGTGGCAAATGCAAAAATCTTTTAAATATAATTAAATCTTGGCAGAATTTTAGTTAGGAAATTTTTCTGTGTGAGACAGGATTTTAAAATGCAACTTCTACCTGTTCTTTAAGATAATGACATTGTCTTCTGTCTAGTAATGCATCATTCTGAGTAATATTTTGCATGTCTTTGGTGAAAAGGCTAATTACTAACGAGGCTTCAACCTCTGCTTCAGTTCTTTGCTTTTACCAAAGCCAGGAAAGTCTTCCTGTTCCTGAAGAGACAGCAGAAATAAAAGTAATTTCATAAGGCCCTCTGATACTATCAGTGTGGAATATGTATTGTTTCTTTGTATAAATAGTGCTCCAAACACAATATCCTTCTGTTTATGTATTAACAGAAAATACTTATTGACTTTCAAGTATGTGCCAGGCACAGTACAAAGTGCTAGCAAAATAGGTTGGGGCTGTTGGCAACATATAGAAAATCAGGATTTAACAAGCACAGAAATCTATTATGAAATCATTTTTAGACTCAAGTTCATAATTTCATAATCACCCACTTAACTAAAAAGTGCTATTGATACTGGGTTTGTTTGGGGGTTTTTTGGTACCAGGGATTGAACTCAGGACCTTGTGCTTGCGAGGCAGGTGGCAGAACCACTGAGCTAAATCCCCAGCTCTAAAAAGTACAGTTGAGGGCCGGGGATTTAGCTCAGTGGTTTTGCTGCCTGCTGTGCAAGCGCAAGGACCAGAGTTTGATCCCCGGTACCAAAAAAAACCCCCAAAACACAAAAGAATAAAAAGTGCAGTTGATGCACAGATGATTTCTCACAAGTCATTGCCATGGAGTATAAAATCTGCTTAAACATTTATAGAATTCTGTGTGTTTGGTTTCTTTTTTGTAAAATGAGAATGTTCAGATCATCAGTTTTGAGGTATAACTTTGCAGAATAAGATCTTGTAAGCTTTGTACAAGTCCCTTGTCCTCCAGATACTGACCACAGCCCATGTCCTCACTACAGTCGGGAACACCCAGTACCCCCCAAACATTTTTGTTTTCTGCTTATTTACAAAGTTAGATTGAATCTCAGGGTTGGATGATTGAGTCTCTTCTTTCCTCTCCTCTCCCCTCGCTTCTCCTCCCCTCACCTTTTTTTCCTGTCTCTTATCTTCTCTCTGTATATTCTCACACAAACAGTAAACATGTGGAATTCATGCTTTGCTTATTTTTAAATAGCCTAATTGCCCTTGTTGAACTGACATATTGTTTACGGCCGTTCCACCCTGTACGAGCCCGATATCATCTGAACTGACATGGTGGTGTTTCTTTTTTTTTTTGTCCCTTTGGTACCAGGGATTGAACTTGGGACCTTGCGTTTGTGCGTCAGGTACCGGAATCACTGAGCTACATCCCCGCCATGGTAGTGTTTCTTAATATATTTGTAATGATTTTAGACAAGGCAGTCTGTATGAAAAATCTGCATCTCCTAAAGTGTGGCCCAGTCCACTTCCGTGGCAGCCACTTGTGAAGCCCCTTGAAATGCAGATTTCTGGACCCCACCCCACATTCAGCACACAAGCATCTCTGGGGTTAGGGCTTGAGGATTTTTATTGTTAAAAAGCATACTTCATGACTCTGAAACTTCAGGTGCTTCAGAATCACTGCTACCCATAGAGTTTGGGGAGAATTGGCTCCCAAGGTTCCTCTCAAGGCCTTGCTTTAATTTTAGACCTGCTTTGACCCTTTGGCAAGTTTGGGAGAACAGAACAGAGTTTCTTAAAAATGGACCTTGAGCCATTCACCTAATGTGTTCTGCACTGTTAAGTACCGAGTCTCTGTGTTTGTGTTAATAACGGCTCTATTTCTGTATTAACCTGTATTACTGAATATTGAACATTTATGAAATGTCCCTGACTGTACCCGTCCTCTTCTGTCACCTAAATGGGATACCAAGTAAGTATGTGAATCAAGGAAGGTAGTTCGGGATATTTAGTTACACAAACTTAATACAAAGGGAGAATGGATGGGATAACTTTGTGCTTTAAATATATGTTATAAATATGTTTAAAAGCAAAAATTCACCTTTTCCTAATTTTGGGCTGATGTAAGCTTTTAAGTGTTTCTTCTCTGTGGGCTTTGTGCAGACTCAGAATGTAGTTCTTGCCCACTTAAAACCAAAAAGTGCTGCCCAACTTTAGAATCTCTGAAAACCTTAAGTCTCCTGTGAGAATTTACCTTGGGCCTCATACCAAAGACACAGGTGGCTGTAGTTTTCACTCAGGTTATACTAGAACTTTGCCCAAGTGAAAGTCCCCAGAAGGTCTGCTGCTTTCGAGGACCACACTCTTTAACGTGGAGGGGTGAGGAGGATGCACATCCTGTGCTGGAGCTGCCTGGCCCTTTCTGCAGGCTCTCGTTTCTTCTCTGACAACCTTGCAGGTGTCATCCCACTGCACAGAGGGGAGGTAGAGTCTGAGAAATTAAGATTTTTACTCGAGGGAGGGGGATTTAGCTCAGTGGTTGTGCTGCCTGCCTTGCAAGCACAAGACCCAAGTTTGATCCCAGGTACCAAAAAAAAAAAAAAAAAAAGATTTTTACTCGAGGCCTGGGTGTGGTGGCATATGGCTACAAACCCAGCACTTGGGAGGCTGAGGCTAGAGGATCAGAGAGGATCACTGCAGCCTCGAGCACAGCCTGAACTGCCTTGTGAGACCTTGTCTCAAAAAAAAAAAAAAAAAAAAAAGATTTTTTCACACTATCACATAGCCTATCAGAAGTGGAACTAAAATTTGAACCTGTGTGTGTCAGGCTCTAGTACATGTTTCTCCCTGTATCAGGGAAGAGAGTGGCAGCAGAACCCTTTATTTCCACAGAGGGGAAATCTCCAAGTACAGTGACTTTATCTTGAGGTACTGGGGTGGAGCTCAGGCCTTCATGCACGCTGCCAAGTGCTCTGTTGCTGAGCTGCACCCCTCCTTGGCCCTAGAATAACTTTCTTAAGGTCACAGAGAAAGTGTTTAAGATGTGCAGAGTGGCACGTTTCTTTGGATCTCTTCCTAATGCCTGTATTGGTCTACATGCTTCGCTGTAAAAAATTTATGCAGTAAAATTTCCAATTAGGAATATGTCCAAGCAATAGTGGTGCTTCTCAAAGAGACCTCTCCACAAATGTGTTATGTATACGTCTGTCTCGTCTCGGACATAAACAGAAGTAATCTCAAGCTTCTGTGGCATGGGCGGCACTCATTGGACATCGTGTCCGATGGCTGTGTTGGGATGACTTGCGCTGGGTGCGGGGGCCTGGGTGCCCAGCACCTTTCCTTTCACATTTTATCTCAAACACTTTGAGACATAAAGAAGTTAAAAGAATAGCACAGTAAACCTTCGTGCACCCATTATCTACCTTCAGTAGCCTTTAACTTCCTGTCTTTCATATTCCATCTGTCTCACTCACATGCTTTTCTCCCTCTGGAGTTTTTTCAGGGTTTTTTGTTTGTTTATGTTGTTGCTGTTGATTGTTTTGTTTGGTTTTGGGTTTTGTTTGTTTGTTTTTTTGGTACCGGGGATGGAACTCGCGTCCTTGTGCTTTCGCAGCAGGTGTTGAAACCACTGAGCTAAATCCCTGGTTCTGGTTTTGGTTTTTGCAGTGCTGGGGATCAAACCCAGGGCCTTGTGTGTGCTAGGCAAGTGCTGTGCCATTGAACTGTATTTCCAGGCCTCCCCTAGATTTTTAAAAAGTAATATTCAGATACTGTGTGTGTCTGTGTGTGTGGTATTAGGGATTGAACCAAGGGATGCTCAGCCACTGAGCTACATCTACATCCCAGCTCTTTTTATTTTGAGCCAGAGTTTTGCTAAATTGCCAAGACTGGCCTTAGACTTGTGATCTTCTTGCCTTAGTCTCCTGAGCAGCTGGGATTAGTGGTGTGCACACCATGCCCACCCTCACACACAGCATTCTTAAGACAGAAAGTGGTTGAGCCCTCTGGAGCTTTAAAAAAATTTTTTTAGCTTTTACTTATCAAATTCTTAACTATGTACCAAGTACTTTGTATATTTAATGCTCACAAATAATACTGTGGGGTAGGTACTATTATTACTTCCCAAGAAATTAAGGCTCTTGATGTTGAGTAATTTGCATGAATTCAAGTACAGTAACTTGTGGCTAAGGTTGTGCAGTTAGGAAGTAAAAAGGCTAGAATTCAAGTCCAGCACAGCCAGGCCTGGCCTCTTATTCACTCCTCATTATATTGTTCTCTGCCCCAAGTTGTACTACATATTATAACCCCAGTTTTCTCCTGTTCCATGTGACCCACCTCCTGGCATGGTTAGGGGTCAGGGATTTCTTTTTATTCACAATGCTGTAGCAGGATTAAACAGTATTCATGTTTATCACTGGTACAGGAAACATAAAAAGGGGAGATAGAATACAGTGAAAGAGAGAAATGAGAGGGAAACATATCAGTGAAGTATTGTGGCGCTTCTGATCTCATCCTGTCTTTGTATTCCTGCTACCCTGTTACAGTGTTTCCCCTTAAAATGCCATTATTTTACCAAACAGAAATGTGGAGTAGGAAGGGGACATGTGCGTGACCCGCAACCCCTCACCCACCTCAGCCCTAAGCCTCCTGTTTCAGGCGGCAGTGGCTGTGGCCCTGAGTGTCCCTCGTCAGTAGCAGGCTCTGGGCTGCCTGTGTGAGGCAGAACGGGGCTCTTGTATCCTAAGCTTGCTGCTGTCCTGTTGCAGCCCACCAAGGTGCTGTGCCTTTGCCTTCTCTCCAGTACGCTGCACACACTCACTACCAGTGTCCCTGCTCTTCCTGTGTGACATGCACCTGGTGTGGAGTTCCAGACTCTTTGCTTGTTTCCTAGGCAGTCCCGAGAGGAAACCAGGACAGAGACCATGATTCTCCGCCTGATTTTCCTTTTCGTTTTTCTCTTCTACTCATCTTTTACACTCTCACCTCTCAACTCAGAATAGTGAGCCCTGCTTTACCTGTAGAGGAAAAGCAACAGAGAGTGGAGTTAGCTTCAGTAGTTCAGAGCCGCCCTAGATTAGCCTTGTAACTGTGGCCATTCATATATGCCACTTGGTTTTGGTTCTCTGCTTTGTTTTGTTTTTTGGTACCGGGGATCAAACTTGGGACCATGCACTTATGAGACAGGCACTGGAACCACTGAGCTAAATCCCCGGCCCTGGTTCTCTGCTTTTTAAGGAAGCGTAGAAACAGGAAATCCAGAGGACAGTAGGGCTGCCCCGGGGGCTGATGAGGAGCAGAGGTCTAGAAGCTAAACCATGGTTACAGCCCTGGTTGTGCCCATTATTCTTACCTGTGACCTCATGATAGTCTTACTTTATTCGAGGTGATTGTAAAATGGCTCATTTGTAAGTTTCAGTTTTAACATTTTATAGGTATGAAATGAGTAACTTAGTCTTCATCACTGAGGTCGTTGTCACTTTTGGTTGGAGAATAGCTGGGGAAAAGCATCATCTTCCTTTGTTAACTATAAGGATAGATTAGATTCTCATCTCTGAGGTACAGTGAAAATAGAGGACCAGACTAAATGACATTGTGAGGTCCTTTCTAGCCCTGTGAGTCTGGATTGCATTGTCTCTTCTGTCTCTCACTTCCGTGTCTTATGTAAGTAGGTAAGGGCGGGTTGGAAATGTGAAGGCAGATGCTGGGAGCAGGTATATGTCACAGAGTCTTGTGCTAACATGGAGCTGAGACCAGAGGCCAGGTCTTCAGGTGGTTGAGTGAGAATGCAGTGCTCTGGTATGTCTCAGCAGCTCTTCAGTTGCTTCACTTCCTGGTAATACTGTTTCCCCTTCCTTTTCCCTTAGTACCTCAACATGCTAAGGACTTGTGAGGGCTACAATGAAATCATCTTCCCCCACTGTGCCTGTGATTCCAGGAGAAAGGGGCACGTTATCACAGCCATCAGCATCACGCACTTTAAGCTGCATGCCTGCACTGAGGAAGGACAGCTGGAGGTGAGAGTTGAGTGTGGGACCGGGTAGGAGCGTTGCAAATGAACACTTTGAAACTCACTCACTTGCTGGGTTTCAGTTCCTCTTGGGGGGAGGTGAAATCAAAACTGTGTTTTCTTTGGAGTAAAAAGCACTGGGTCCAAGCTGATCTGATCCTCAAGTTCACTGACTACTTCAACACTGATTTGCATTCCTTTGTCACAGTCCTTTCCCCTTTCATGTATCTTCTCCCTGCCTAAGAACTCCCTCACCTTAGCTCCCCAGCACTCTCCTACTCAAACTACAGGCTTCATTCTCCTCTTCTTGGTCATCCAGAACCAGGTCATAGCATTTGAATGGAATGAGATGCAGCGATGGGACACAGACGAAGAAGGAATGGCCTTCTGTTTTGAATATGCACGAGGAGAGAAGAAGCCCCGATGGGTTAAAATCTTCACACCTTATGTGAGTGGGACACTGGGGAAGTAGACCGGGCTTCAGTAGAGACAGAGATGTGGCCTTCTTGGGATCAGAGCACACAGGTCCCTTTTTCCTTTACCCCACTGCCTGGGATTGGCAAATTCACATGCTGCTTGACTCATACTTACCACTAGAAGGAGCTAGAGAACAAAAGGTGGCCAGATCAGGGGTCTGGGGACTTGTCAGAGTTTGGAAGATGGGGCAACCTGGCGGGAGTTCAAAGCCATGGCCGCGGGGTACCTGGTCCTGAGAAGTAGTGAGTATTGCTGCTTTTTTCCCCAGTTCAATTACATGCATGAATGCTTCGAGAGGGTGTTCTGCGAGCTCAAGTGGAGAAAAGAGGTAATTCTAAAGACTTCTTGAAGTAACCTTCATCTTGTAATTTGTAGGCCCATTGCCAAATACCTGGGACCCTCACCTCCATTTCTGTCTTTCTAGAAATATTAGTTAGAGACTGGTTTTCCCATGTGAGCCAGGACAGCAGGGCTCCAGCGGGGCTGGCCTCTGGATGGTGAATGGGCTGTGCAAAAAAGCCCGGCTTCTTCCCTTGTCTAGAGGGTGGACACTGGCTACAGGCTCTTCCATCCTCATGACTTCATGGCTGTTGTTGTTAGGTTTTTTGTTTTGTTTGTTGGGATTTTGAGTCACCCTCTATATTGTTCCTGACCTAGAAGGCCTCTCCCCTCCCTCAGTTGTAGCCATCTGACTGGATGGGTCACGACAGAGGCCTTCTAGATCAGTGGTGGCAAACCTATGGCACGCGTGCCACAGCAGGGTGTTTATATCATTGAAAGCTCTAAAAGGTTTGCCATCACTGTTCTAGACTAACCAAAAGTATGCACAGGGGAAAGTTTTTGCAAGGGCCATTGTGTAGGTGTCAGTGCTGGAACAGAATTTAGAAGATTGTAAATAATTAGCTACTTCTTGTCAAAGAAAAATCAGTGGATTGAGGTAAAGTCAGGAACGTGAAAATTTGTATTTTTAGTATGGTAAAAAGAAAACTAGGCTGTGGGAATCATATCTAAGTTTCCTCCTAGCTCTAATTTTGGCTAAATCAATCTCCGTTAAATCTGACTTTTCTGTCCTGTAAAACGGGAAGACTTAGCCGGGTGATTAGTATTCAGAGTCCTTCCGGCTCTGAAAGCCTGTGATTCTTGGTGGGAAGTCCTGTCGGAGAAGAGGCCAGTCAGATAGGGTCACCCAGTTACTGTTTTAGCTCCTGTTTGAGGGTTGTCTCCAGAATGGAGGGGACATGGCTTCTCAATAACTTTTTTTTTCCCTTTCAGAACATTTTCCAGATGGTGAGATCACAGCAGAGGGATGTGGCCACCTAGCCTTTCCTTATCCCTTTCCCTTCTCGCCTTCGTCCTCTTATCCCTTTCATCTCCTATGTCAGCGTAACCATTAACACAAAAGAAAAGATAAAGGAAAAAAAGTCATTACATTCAGAAGCCCTAAACTAAATATTATTAATAACTCCCTCTGGAATTGAGCTGATAGAGAACAACAGATTGGTTCACACCCTAAGTCCACTGAGATAAGACAGAGAAAGAAGTAAGCCCGTCCAACTCGCCAAAGGTATCTTTGTGCTTTCACCTGGGCCTCATACCAACAGACTCTCCTTGTACTATATTTTGAAAACTGGAACTATGAACTTCATCCATTTGCACTGTTCAGACATATATATGTATGTATGTAAAAAATTATATATACACAAATTAGCTGCACGTATATACATATATATATTTCTTTTTAAATTTCATATTGATGGCAGTACCTTTTTTAGCTTGTGTTTTTACACACCTTTCACTAGAATTCATGACCTCTCTTGCTCTCTTTATTTTGAAACAAACTTTAAAAAGGAAAAAAAAATTTACAGGGAAAATACCTCTCCTCATGAAGGACTCGAAAAGTTTACAACCTGCTTGGGTTTTTCCCCCCTTTTTTGTATTGAGTGCAGTTTCTGAATCATGGGTTGCCGTCGAGTCTGAGGAGCAAGGAGCATAGTGTCTATCTTTCAAGAGGGTACTGGGAGGAGAAACAGGTGTGTTTCTCACAGGTGCAAGGGTGCGATCTACAGAGAGAGTCTGAAGACCTGGTGTGGTCTTGATTTCAAGACAGTTTCCTGGTCCATCTCTCTCCCACTCATGGCTTTCTGGCCAACTCTGTACCTCCTTCCTGCTTCCTGGGGGCCCCTGCTGTTCTCCTCCGCTGTCCAGAGCAGAGTTGAGCATGGGCTTAGGAAGTTGATGCCACAGGAACCTGAAACACTTCATGGTAGTAACTGCTGATCTTGCCTTTTCTGCAGCAGGGGTGGCATTAGGGACCAAAGGTAAAGCTGATACCTTAGGCACAAAGGTTGGATTTGCAGAGGGAAAAGAAAGGAAGCAATATTCTGTGTACATAAGGCTTTACCTACCCTGTTCCTGAACAGTAACCACCGTAACTATTGCACTCTCTGTGACATCCTTGAACAACAGTGCTGGGGAGGGACCTAACTATCTTCAAGACCTTAGGGCAACTTAGAATGGGTCTGTGGTCTGTGCCAACCAAGCCATAGCCCTATCCAACCCAGCAGAGGACCCTGGAAGGGGTGGGAATATGTTCAGTTTAAGCTACATCTCCACCTTCTGTTTAAAAGCAGACTGAAGGAAAACCTTTGTGTTCCTCAGTGAGTTGCTCATCTGACCTTGCAGTTAGACCGTTTGAGACCTACAAGCTACATCCCAGGGTCAGAGGCCAGAGCCCCTGAGCTCTATACCCATTACATAAAGGCACTAAGTCAGGCTCGGGTGCAACTGAAACAGATCTTTGACCATCTTGGGGGTGGGGGTCTGCCTTTCCCCTTCTAAAGAGAAACTCAAAGGGTGGCATCCTCTGCCTTGTCGAGCTGGGAGGCAGGCAGAATTCTTGTTGGGGTGGTTTGAAGTTTCTCTTTTGTAGATCAATGTGAGGCCATTTTTCTTTGTTTCTCACTGTTATCCTAGTGGGCATAGGCCCCCAGGGAGGTGTGGAATCATAAAACATCCTCTCCTCCCCACTTCTCCAAAGCCAGGAAGACTCACAGATTTCAAAACACCAGAGTGCTGAACATTTAACATTGAAGAGGGCAATCCCCACCTTGAAGACTCTATTTAATATGGGATCAACTTCTTCTTTTGGCTTAAATTAACTTAATAATGAGCCAAAGGACCTTAAAAAGAAGTTAGGTTGATTTCCCACTCCAAGATGCTTAAGTGGCTTTTGGCACCAGCTTTGTTCAGACTATAAAAACAGCAGCAGTGCATAATGGGAGCAGAAGGAACAGGGCCTAGAGCCTCCATGACAGACCAAGTGCTGGCCTCTGGGTACGAGACATGGGGAGTTGGAGGCCCCTAGAGTAGGTGTGTGGTGCTGTGTTCCTCTTCCTGCATAGCATCCACTTGGTGTTTGGAAATTGGGTGAGGGACCCCATAGACAGTTGGCCTGTGGCCAGATCTGCTTAGTTCTGGCTTCTGCTTGAGGCCATCCCACTAAAAAGCGCCCAGCTTCGGCAGGGAGGGAGACCCTATAGGACGGTGCCTTCTCCCTTCTCACATCAGCCCCCAGCAGTGGAGGCTCCATAGGATCAAGCTCTTCTGTGCATGAAGCAGTGTTAGGTGTGACTACTCCCCTCACCCCTGTGCTTTGTTTCTGTACCCCTACTACTTTTCTTAGTCCTGGCTTCTGCCGAGGGCACCGTCTACTCAGTCTTCTTTTACGGTTTGACTCTGGAAAAGAGGGCTCCTGGTTACACTGGATTTCTGTCCTCTGGGGCAGAAGCTTAGAGTTTCTGTGGAACAAGAGAAAACTGAGGCCCTGAGAAACCTGCAGCTGCAGGAAGGTTCCCTTGGGCCATACTTTGAGCTCTCTGCTTTTTATTCTTTTATCTGGTTCTCTATCTTTCTGCCCTCCCCTTGCCCTAGGCCTAAGCTCTACACAGGTACAGATAAGTTTGTGCTCAGGGCAGCTCTAGGCCTGGACAGAGCTTTCAGTGAGGAATTAGATAAATATCCCAGTGTCCTCAGGCCAGCCCATTTTCTTTCATCCTTTAGTTACCCAGGCCAGTAGCTTTGGGTTATCTCTTGTAGCCCCAAACCCAGTGCTTGGAGCAGCTGAACAGGGCACTGACAGGAGGTGTGACAGACCTCTGTCCTATCCCGAATTTGCCCACTATGGGCCTGGCTCCTAAGAGGCAGTTTTCTTAAGGGGAACTGCATGCTAGGTGACCTGAAGGACCACTGTGCCCTCCCTTCTCTCTGTCAACTGTCTGGCTGGACTGACGTACTGGGAGACCTCGGCATGCTGCTGTTCCTTTGCCAGGTTCATTGGGTCACACTGGCTTCCTTTCGGGGGACTGTGGCTGATTACCACTCAGAGGGGAGGGAGAATGCAGGCAGTGGGAGACTTCTGTGGTCCCCATCTTCCAGTTGTACCTGCTGTTCCCTTGCCCTACCCTGAGCACCACCTGCCAGTGCAGCAGCAGTTCACTCGTCAGCAGTAACCGCGGGTGAACTGGAAGTGAGGGCTCTGGGGAGGAGCAGAACTGAAGCCGGGAGTGACCTGGGGCAAGGCACTTGGCCAACTGCTAAACTTAGACACCAGTTTCTCCCATGCCCCCTTTGAAGCTGGTGAGCTGGGCTTCTGTTTTTCCCAGGTCATGCACACTTTTAATTTATTTGAGAGAAACTCTAATTGTATTTTCACTGCAGCATCTTGTATTTTTTATTTGTGATTTAAGAAATGTGAAGAGAAAATACACAGATATATAATGGCTAACAGTGTTTCTTTCATTTCTTGTTCTAGAGCTAACCACTCTAAAATTGTTTGGTAACGTCACTTAGTGTAATTAATTGTAACATATTCTTTTAAATAAATTGATTTATTGATGAAACAATTCTTTTGTTTCCTAGACTACAAATCCTTGGGGATATGTGGGAAAAGGAAGAACCTTTGAGACTCATTAGAATGGTCAAGCTGAGGAGAAGGAGCATTAACCAGTTTCCTCAGTGACCAGTGGGCAGCCTGTGGAGGGTAGGAGATGGGGAAGGGCAAGGAAAGGAGAAATAGGCAGGCCCCTGGTTTGCAGCTCTGTTTTCAGTGACTTCTTTAAAATTCCTTCTCCTCCCTCAGTCTGCAGAGTTGAGGCCGCTTGCCCCGCCTGCCTGCCGGCCAGCCCAGAATCCTCTAGAGTCACGGGACTCCCTTCCCAGCTGAATACAGATGAAGCCGGCAGAGCCCTGAACAGATCTCAGTGCCGTCCCCTCGGCAGCACCTACGTGCTTCTCCCCTTTTCAGTAACTCGGGAACTTTGTCCTGGGGACCTGGAAGTGGAAACACATCACCCCGAATGAAAGCCCAGACACGACTGGCCGCCCTGGTGGGCAGTGTCCCCCATGCCGACACCCCTCATGATACAGGTGGTCCTGTCACCCTCACTTTGACAGAGGAATCCAAGTGCTGGGTCCATTTACCTCCTCTCTCAGCTTGACTTTATGGGCTGAGTCTGCTCTGAAAAGCTTACATTTGTAGTGGGTCGAACATTTTTAAATTGTTTTTATAAATCTTCACATTCTTACTATTTTCATAACTCCTGATCAATGTGGTTTTGTTCCTTAGTCGATGCCCATAACAGCAAGAATCAGTTTGACATTTTGTTTGGCATTTGGAGGAGAGACATTATTCATGTCCTCATTCACCCAGCCACTAGCATTGAATATTGGAATCTGATAAATAACTACTATGCTAAGGGAAAATTTTTTTCAAAGAATCCATAGAGAATTAAAAAGTGGAATTATAGAATCAGAATTACACAGGTTAAAGTCAACAAACACTTGAGGCCCTGTGTTAGGTACTGGCACAGACACAAAAGCAAAGAGAAACATTCTGCTCACTTACAGTCCCTCAACAGGAGACAGTTACAAATGACCAGGATAAACAGCCATGGAAGGGTCGGTGCTGGACACTAGAAAAGGAGTGGGGGAGAGACCTGTGGGTGAGGGCATGAAGAAAATCTTTACCAAGAAAGTGTACAGCACTTAAGGTAAACTGCTTACCATGAGCAGGATGTCAGCAAGCAGACGTTTAACGATTACCAAGACCGTGTCAGTGTTGTCAGGCACTAGCGATGGGGAAGGAAAAGACACAGGAGGCCAAAGGGTCTGCCTTTCCAGGGAAAGATGAACTTGGGGTGTGTAGGGCTGAAGAGGGAAGGGAGGCCTTACAGAAGCATGATGCTGGAGAGGCACTCTACATTGAGGAAGCAGCAGAAAGGGTTGTTACCAGGTGCAGCCTAGGAAGAGGGATGTCTCAGACTACAGGACAGAAGGGTCAGCGAGACGGCTGTGCTTATTCCGCTAGTAAATAAGAAGCAGTGAGAATTGGAAGGAAGGAACACACGAGTGAGAAGAGCTGTGGATGTGAAATTTGTATGATTTCATGACATCAAATTTATGTGAGGAGCAAAAGACTCCTAAGGCTTTGCATCTGTATGGGTGGAAAACAAACAGTTAAGTGTTCAGATTTGGGGACAGAAAAGGTTTCAGCTTAAAACTTCCAGTTTTGGCACAGGTGAGAAATCCAGCATAAACATCCAGCATGGTTTCTTAATCATTTCCTGAGGAACTTCGAGTGCTCTGGGGCTGCGTAGGGTGATGGAGAGCAGAGCGCCGGGGCTGGCAGCCGGATGGGGTACAAGCCGCGGGGGAAGGGTGTGCGCCAAACTGGGATTGAGTGCTGATGTTTAGGAACAAGGAGGACTAAGAAGCTAATGCTGAAACTGAGGAGAAAAATCGGACTAGGAATTCGTGGCTGGCACTCATTTTTATCCAGCAGGCGAAAGGATGCAATACATTGGCAGGAAACCATTTGTGGAGAACAGGAAGCTGACTGTGGGTGAAGTAGGACTGAAAGAAAGCCAGAGTGTGCGGATTTTATGAGAACTAGGAGCTTGGGTCGGGGCTGTCTCACATATGGAAAAGAGAACAAGGTGTGGCCATGAGTGGAAACTCCTTCAGTCACAAACACTAGAAGCTACGGCTATGAAAGCTTTGAGATTTTAGCGAGAAGTGAAAGACACAGGGAGCCCAGGAAGTTGGGCCATGCCTGTCAAGCCCGCAGGGCCCAACCCCAGGGGAAATGGAGACACCTCGCATCATGTGTACACTTTTGAAAGCTTTAAAAATATGGAAAGGGAAGGAGAACACACTGAAGGGATTGTTCTCAGGGCCTTTTCTCTCCTGGCATGTTCTCATCATTTTGGTCTCCCTGACGGGATATTTTTGTCTTTGGTTTTACTATTGAAAGTCTTCAAAAAAAAAAAAGAAAGAAAGAAAGTCTTCCCCGTCCCTACTATTAACTTGCCAGCTCCATCCTTCTGCCTTGAGAAAAGCCATTTTCCCTCTCTTCATGCTGCTATTAACACTTGAGCACAGCATGAGTGTTACAGAAGAAACAGACAGGGTAGCTGTTAATGTTCTGTGGGGGCTGCCACACCTTGGGTGCCTGAGATCTGGGAAGATACCAAGATGGAGGAGACTTCCTAGTCGTTCACCCCTCACTGGCCCCCACATCCTGAGAGAATCCACAAGACAGTAAGCCACTCTGGGAGATGCTCTTGGTCTAAGTCCACTTCCGTGTCTCTGTTTTGACTCAGGCTGTTCTGAAATAGGCATCTCAAGGGAAAGTTCCTAGTGCTAATACCCACTCGTGTGCTGCCACCTAATGCACACTTCTTCCCATCTCTAGCCTATACACAGGCTTCTAATTCAGGTTTCAGATGCTGTGCATTTGGTAAGAATCCTGCCTGGGTTTTCCTTCTGAATAATGTCCCATTCCTGATTTCTACCAGCCCAAGAGTTGTTTGTTCCCCCTACTCCCCTGAAACTATCTCCATGGATACATCTCCACAGTACTTCACATTTTGCTGCTCTTTTTAACTACAGGGGTTTATAAAAGAAGGCAGAAGTAAGGGGTAAAGGTGGGGTGAGTTGGGATTTATTCGAGGTTGTGTGTTTGTGAACAAGTGGCCTGAGGCCAGACCAAAACTGGAAGGTGACAAAGTTTGCACGAAGGGCTAGGATAGCAGGTGGCTGTGCTCTGTGAAGTCAGAGAATCTACCTGTGTGCTCCTCCTGAGTCCAGCCCTAAAGCCGTTCACAGAGAAGAATCTGGAAACCAGAGGGCCCTGGCACAGTTCGTCTTCTGATGGGGATCGCTGCTGTGGCCTGCTTGATACTCCCTGGGACCTTTGCCCCCAGTCAGAGGACAGGTGAGACCACAGCCTTATGGGCCTCGTAGTCTGGCAAAGTGGGCTCAGGTTCTGCAGCCTTCCCTTCCCAGCTTTGTGACAGGCTGAGCTGGACACCTCTCAAAGCCTCCCTTCCACCTGTAGTCACATCCTGCCTCAGGCTTGTAGTGTGGCCAAGTGAGGAAATGCACATTAAAGGCCTAGAATGGAACCTCCTGTAGAGCCATAGATGATATGTGGTGGGGGTCCAGCCAGCTCAGGGGTCCCCGCTTTGTGCCTGGAGCCTGAGGGACATGGCTGAGTACCAGGACAGGCCTGCCACGGCTCTCCCCTCTGCCCAGCTCTGCAGAACATTGCAGATGAAGCCCCGGAGATGAGCAGAAGCAGACCCTGAGCAAGCGCCTGGACACTGCGCAAAGCAGGGGTGGGGCCTCCCTGAGGACCTCTCTCCCAGACCCCCCTCCTCCCTCCCTGCCGTCCCCAGTGTGAACACCCCAACCTCAACCTTCCAACACTCTTATTTGGTGCTTTTAAACTTTATTTAGACAGAAAAGACCAACTCTTTGAAAGTAAAATGCAATAAATAAATAAGTTAATCATAGAGAACTGTCTGAAACCGACTCCCCAGTCTCCCTGTACCACTCCCACCCCCACCCCATTTTCCTTTCCCTAAAACCTTTGCCTAAAGAAAATCATCAGGTAATAAACCCCTTTGTCCCTCCCCACACCCTTCCTCCCAAATACCCAATCACCCGCCCCCCAAACCAAAGGGAGAAATCAAGAGAGTGAGAAAAAATCCAAGGGCAACATTGTCTAAACTCCCAGAAAGAGATGGCAGCGTCCGGGCAGGGCGGGCCGGGCCGAGCGGGCTGGCTAGCGCACGCACGGTGGCTGTGGCATTTATACGGAGGGGCCAGCAGAGACTGTAAACATTTTTAGGGGCTCGGGAGGTCTTTTCCTCATGAAAGGAGGAGGGTCTCTGGCTGACGGGCAGAGAGGCAGCCCTCGGGGCTCCCCCACACCCTCCTTGGAGGGGCCCCTGGGGGAGGCAGTGAGTTTTAGGGCTGGGAGCCCAGGGTCAGGGTTATCCTACCTCTAGCTGAGGGTGGAGGGGTGCGAGCCAGCTTCTGGGAAGCTGACTTCGGGGAGTGGCTGGTGAGGGCTGGCTGGGGCCTGCACTGCTAGAACAGGCTCCCGGGGTGCGGGCGCTGGGCAGAGCCAGCACAGGAGTCCTAGCAGAAGGCAGATACCTCGGAACCCTCAGGCCTGTTCCTTGCTCCCTCACAAAGGCCAAAAGGGTGCCTGGGAGGAAAGAGGCCTTTGGAGCCAGGGAAGCAAAGCCACAGCCCTTCCAGAGGCGGGTGGTGAGGTGGGGCGGTGTCCTGTGCCCAGAGGCCACGAAGCAGCTTTTGCCCCAGGGCCCAGTGAAGGCCTGGGGCGGATGTGCAGAGGGCCAGGCCCAGTCTCATCTCGGGAAGAGGTTCAGGTGCCCCTTCCTCTGGTACCTCCAGACCTGTGAAGGAAGGAGACACCGGGGAAGCCTGGGGACGATGACGGCCGTGCCCGTCACGGGGAAGGGGAGGTGGCTGGGGTGGTGACAGCACCTGAGAGCAGGCTGCTGAGGGGCAGGCCATCGTCATCGAGAGCCCT